TTGTGATAGGATTATTTATTCCTCAAATACTTTGTAAACCATTTCTGAAGTATGCAATTCCAGATATAGTTTTCCTGTGAAATTTTTTAACAGCCTCAGTTTTATATTCCATATTCATTCAATCAAAGCAATTGTCTCTTCTTCAGATGAGATTTATAACAACTTCATTAATGAAATCAACCAATGTATTTCATTACATTTTTCAATTTGGTCCTAGTTTAACTTTATGTATATTGCTTAGAATAACAGGCCAAAATCAATTTTTACATTATTAATATTATTACACCAGTTTGAGACATTGTTATTCATGATTTAGCTTTATTTTATGTGTTTATTTACAGTTACTGCTTAATGTATGTTGCACTTTTAGGGGGAGAAAGCTGATTTAGGCCAGAGACACCGTGCAAACCCCTGCAGTTATAAATCAGATCATGCGTGATTTGAAATCTGTTTAAAGCAGACAAATCTTTGAGAAGCCATTCAAATGGCACGTGCAGAGAGTATATTGTACAGAACTCAGCTCATGTAATTACTGATAAATCACACGCAGAAAAAAGCAGCAGCAGCATACTTTCCCACATCACACAGAATAAATTGTCATCATAAAACTGCTGAAGTGTCAAGGAGAGATTACATGCGTTACGCACTTTCTCACCGACAGTAAGTTGCAGTAGGTGCAATACCTCATAAACAGGCCTGCCCGGTGTTTATGAGACAGTTAGAGGAATAGAGTTCTTTGAAATTGTTAACGGCTGCTGTGCTTTGCATACCCTGCTTCCTTCATTACAGCTTGGCGAACTCATTCCCTTTGCTGTACCTTAGTCCTCTGTGTCTGTATGTATATTTGGGTTTCTGCTGGTGGTTCCACGTTCTGCATGCTTTCCTAAATGCGGAGCAACGTGCTTTCCCATAAATGATAAAGGTTATGGGTTAGCCTCCTACAGGCTCTGTGTTCCTGAGAAATGGGCTCTTTCTGTTGGTGGTAACTCATGTTTTGATGTCATTGTTCTGAATTGTTCTTTATGTTGTAAAATTGAGTTGAAATGTACTCCCATAGGAGTTAGCTTTTCATATTGGGCTGGAAACTCTTCATTTTTGTGTAGCAATTTGTTTATTATAACCAATGGCTTTTAATTGTACCTCCCATAATGAAGAGCTGACTTAATACTCTGTGCTAATCTTGTTATGACTTTAAAAAGGTAAGTAATTTCTCTAACCATTCCTAACAGTCATGGTAAAGTGTTAAAGGGTTTTTCAATTTTCTTTTTTTCTTTATTTTTCACATGAATTTTTCACTTGTAGCATGAACTTTTCTTTGTGTCTTTTTCAATTTTTCTTCTAAAAAATTTTTTTGTGGACTGATTTTTATTTGCAGCAAAACATATCATGTAGATTTAAGTAAAACCAATTTAGTACAGTTATTGATTTCATTTTTCAGACCAGTCATGATTGATAGATAGAAATTATCAGCAGGACACTTTATTTTACCATTCCCTTAATTTGTTTTTGAGTACTTTGTTTCACATTCTATTAACTACTTCAGCCTATGGGAGAAAGCTTACTCTGCATTCCAGCATGATGAAATTATATCTTAAAGAACATAAAATCCAGTTTGCTTAAAAAACAGAGTAATGTGAATTGAATGCTTTGGGTTTGGTTACATTCTGCCTGAACTACGCAGGGGAATGGTACTGGCTGGTAGCCCAAGGTACATTGTGAGCCAAGAGGCTGCAGAATGGACAAACAATAAATCTATAATTTCCCTGTGAAAGGCGAGACAGCCATAGGTTGTTATCTCTGTAACTACCTGTGAATGAGAAGAATTAGAGTAAATAATACTACTGATCACTCGCCCCAGTCAGTCACGGTACTATATGCAATGTAATATTGATTCTTTACGTAGCAGTAGCTGTGAAAAGAATACAGATTTTTCATAAATGTCACAAATAACAAAGTAGTGAGCCATACAAATAATGGCCATGATAAAAGGCACTTAAAGCACATGACCCCATGCATACAAAGCTCCATTGCTGCTAAAACCGTATGTGTTAGAAAACTGGTGGGTTTTATTCAAAATTGTATTTTATGGCAGTTTTGTTTAAAAATAACATTTAGGATATCAATGTGCAATTCATGTTAAACAAACAGAAGTATTATGTAATAACTAATTTTGATGTCAGTTCTGTTAAAACATGGTTTGTATTCTGCAGCTGTGAGCATAGGTTGGGAAACGATCAAGTCTAGCTGATCAAGCCTTTTATTTTATTATCATGGATTCCTCTTCCACAGCTGCTTTTAAAATTTGTGGGAAGCAAATTATTTCTCATACTGCATATCTTGCCCATCAGGTGAGTGATAACATGGAAACTGTAGGCTGGGTGTAAGCAATCAGAAAGTAAATTTAAAGTCCTCTGTGTGCACAGAATTAAAAAAAATGACCTGTAAGAGGCTGTGTGTGAAGCCAGCTGTCCTTTGTTACCATTGTCATTTGGACACTGTAAGAGCAAAACTTTGTCAGCACGTTTTTTTATATTAGAAGATTTGATCTGCAAATCTCAGCTGCTCTGTTCATTGTAAATCTCTTGTTTTTGTCCATACACTAGCTCCACTATAGGTTGGAAGGGCTTAAAGATGAACTGAGGAGGAATAGAGGCTACAACTCGAGAGTAACTATTACTGCTCAAAGGAGCTGTTTTCCATTCGCAAACATTGCTTTGCGCTATGGGTTTGGGCTCCTTCTGTTCCTCCACTTTGTTGAAGACTCTCTTGACTTCCATTTTACTTCTTTAGCACTGTCTTTGTCTGCTAACATTTTTCCTCCTTCTCTAGTAGCTTTTATCTGTGTCCTTTGGATCACATGTTTTACTTAGTTTGTTTTAGTAGATTGTTTCAAATGTTTGTGTTTTGTATTTTTGGTTTTTTGCCTTTTTCTTTAGGACTATGTTACCTCACTGAGTTTCATTCCACAGTTTGCTGAATCGCTTGGTTATTTTGCAGCAGGCCCATTCCTCGTTTTCTCTTTTCATATGGTTTTCAGTGAGAAATAAGAGAGCCTCTTCCATTTTAAACGGTAGTCTTACACACATAGGCCCATGTCTCCTTTTGCACACACCATCTTCTGCCTTGCCACGTCCATCCTGCTTCTCTCTCTCTCTCTCTCTCTCAACCTGTGCCTCTCTCTCTTTTGTGCTTCCTTTCCTACCATTATACCACCTTTTTGGTCCAGAATTGTCCTTTGGTAAATTATAGGTAAATATTTACTTCTTCCAAAGAGAGTTCGTGTCATGCCTTTGAAATCTGGTAAAACAACTCTGGGCCAAATTTGGGCATCATTAATATTTTGTTTGCAGTTTTCTTGTATAGTATTTTTGGTGGGAAGGAGGGAGGGTTTGGGGGTTTTCTGTTTGGTTTTTTTTTTAAACAATGTTTTTTTTCAGGGAAGGACACCATAACCCACTCTAAGTTGCAACATTACTTTCCATAAGTTATTCCATTACAATAAGTAGACTGTGTTGCGCTGTAGAATCCAATTTTTTTATGTGAATATACATTTGGGGCAAGCTGCTGTGGAACAGAAGAAAGAGGTTTAGAAGTTGGGGCGCAGTTGGTTTTAGCCTTAAATGGTTGTTCCTTTCTGAAGACAGCTGTTTGGGGGTTGAGCGTGTACCATTCTTCATCAATTGTTAGATCCTACACGTTCACTTTCTAGGCAATTTTTCTGTAACTGCAAATTGAAACTGTAGTCTGAAAGATAATCTGGATTCACTCCTTTGCTTTTTCAGCATAGACAAACGTTCTGCAGGGAAATTACACCCTCAGCGTCACTTGTGCTATTCTTTCACCACATGTCCACGGGTTTACTTTATTAATCCTCTCGCTGAAATTTAGCAATACATTTGCCAATAAAGTAAAAAAAAGAAGGATTCCGTTCATACTCTCTCAGACATTTGTCTTCCTGTGAAGTTTACTTTAGCAGGGGTTTTGTCCACACAAAAAGCTTTTTATTGAAGTGTTACCAGTTCAGTCAGCTGACCTGCCAGAAGGTAGAGTGCTCTTCAAAAACTCGCAACCTGAGTGTTGTTATACAATGTGCCATCTTTCCAAACCTGAGAAGAATTAACGAGAGCTGATGCTTCAGTATAGATAAAGTTTAAACTGTGTCGTGTTTACAAGACTGCTACTCTTCAGAAAACAATTCTCTTTTTAAATTTGCATGGTAAACAGATGGAACTCTAAATATCCAGTGTTACTGGAATATTACACCAATGTGAATCCTCCAGTTTCCTTGGGGTCAGAGTAGTGTATCTGGAATAGCACAGTGGCACCTAAGCATCTAGGAAGAAGATTTGTTGAGAAACCAGTTGTCATTCTCACACAGTTACTTTTTAAAGTAGAATTGCGCTGTAAAAATCATACGGAACATAGCATTTCTTTTAACCAAACAGAAACAACCGAGTAAATTTATCTGGCTCCAACCAGGAGCTGTTTATACAATTGTGAGTTGCTTATACAATTGTGAAGAAGTCTTATTAAATATCTTCAGAATCAACGCAATCTAAATTGAGTATTTTAAACTCTTTCTATAATACCTGAAAATATCAATAATAGAATTTTAAAGCAGGTCATGATACTATAGTTATGTTAGTGTTTTGTCTAATCATAAAACAGGACTTAGATTCAGAGTTACTGTAAATATAATTGTCTAAGAAAATGTAGATTTTCTGTTTAAAAGTGGAGCTTAACACGTAATTTTAACAACTTTGTTCTTTGATTTTACTCTATTACTGTCCTTAGGCCATCTTGTTTCTTGGGGGCGGGGAGTGTGGAATCAAGTTGCTTGTATCAGACTCTGCCTGTCAGCTACTACCCTTCTGCTTAAATATACTTCTCTCATGTAGAGTATCTAAGAATGTTGCTGAAAAGATGTATAGCCTCTGTCTTAGATCCCAGGAGCTTGCCCATTATGTCTCTGTATTTAGCATTCTTGTTAACTTCTGTAGCTCATAGACTCTGTGCTCTCTCTGCAGGTCCAGTCGAGGTGCAGCAGCAAGGAGAACATCCTCAGAGCAAGTAAGTACTGAAACTTCATACCTCTACTGAGAAACTAAGACTGCACAGAAGACAGCAAATGATAGTCAGATGAGAAGGAAATGGTTGGGGCATAAGTGGGTTTGCAGAAGAAATTTAATAACTTAAGACAATGAAATTCAATCCAAAGAGAAAATAAAAGTGTAAATAGCTCATAGTGTTCATGTACTACTGGATAGTTGCCTTTTAATTTTTTCTTCCAAGTTGTTCTTCTAATGACAAGAAGGTCTGTGTTGTTTGTGGTGATGTATTGTTGGAAATGATCGTGTGTGTGCAAGTTTTATGGGCAAAAAGAATCAACAATCAAAGACAATGAAAATTCTCAAGTTGAATATATATGATTTTACTTTCATACCTGAACATGAAATTGAATGTTGGGTTACATAAAAGCAAACCAAAACATGCCAAGGTTAAGAATTCAGATTTGATCCAAATGACCTGCTGTTTAATTTGCACAATTCCTTTCCTTTGTTTTATGGGAATCTTTCCTAGTCTAAAATTTGATCCACCATTGTGTGTGTCCATATATATGTGTGTGTATATGTATATATAACAACAGGAATAGGCAGTTGTTTTGGCGATAAGAGAGAAGGCTGTGAGGAATTTTCTACATTATGCAACCAATTGACTTAGCTGCTTCAACTAGAGGATTATTTTGTCATACAAAATGCTTCTTAATGTAAGCAGTTACTTTTAGAGCCATCTGACATTTGACGTTAGTGAAATGTCTGAGGAGTTGTTTAATGTAATTTACTTATAATTAAAAAATACCACTTAGTAATTTCAGAATTTTAAAAAAATCATTAGGTGTTTGTCTCCGGATCTGTTTAAATGTGTGATACCTCTAAAAGAAGAGTTAGCATTTGTTTGTAGGAAGAAATAGGGACAGAGAAGTGTTGGTGGTTACACATGTGTCTTTATTCCTTTCTTCATTGAGGTTATTGATGCTAGTATTAAACCTGAAGGGCCTCTATTTTTGCGCATGTTTTTTCTTGGCTTCTCTTGCAGAAATAATGGGTGTTACTTTTGGTGTTGGAACAAAGTTGTCAGAGATTAGGGGATTTTATCTATTTTAAAAAAACATGTTGAAGAACACGGTTCTCAGTAGATTTTAACAGAACCTTTGACTTAAGCAAGTGATGTGTATTAGACACAGTTCTGAATCTGAAGGTGGGACTCTGGGGCACCATTCAGACCATTCAGAGCCTGTAATTCATTAATGTTTTAAGGGTTAAAGAGGTGAAATGTTAGTTTCTGAAGTAGCTAACAGTGAGGTTTAGGTAGCAGTAAAACATAAACATTAAAAGTACCTAGTGGCTGTAGCATAAATGTTGTTTGCTGCCACACAATTCCCCCAGCTTTCACTGCTGTGACATATTTTTTTCTAACATCTTCCTTCATTTTTCCCAACTTTTCCTTTTAAGAAAATAGTAGTTTCTTAATTTATACAGTCAGGAAAAAGTTTTTAACATACACTGTGTGGAATCTGCTGGACCTCCAAGAATTATGGTGCTGCTGGAAGTTTGACTGTCTCTCACAAATGCTTTCATTTCCTTGTCCTTATTTTTATGAGGTTGCTTACAAAATATTGGCATAATAAGGCAAAATGTAAGCTTACTAGGGACATCCCTGTTGTTAAATCCAGGAATGCAGTTTTTCTGCTAGTTACTAGTTATCTTACAATAGTTTAATTTGGATCATTTCTCCCTAATAATTTGCTTATGAGAAAGATTTAAGAGTGTGAAAAGTCTTAATATAGTTAGAATATATCTCATCAACTGTTTCTCTCTTCCTCAGTATGCCAACTGCTATGTTAAGGAGAGGAATTAAGTGAGTTAGAAATTATTTATGCTTGACAAATTTGCAGTACCTGCTTTTATCATCACCTTATCATCTAAATACGTACAAAGAGATTGTTCAAATAATATCTTCCAGAATCTTTCTTTGGACTGGAATTAGGTGGACAGTTTTATTCGTCTCTACTTCTTCCTCTTAAAGATAGTTACTGTGTTAACGTCAAAAAATAAATTAATGAGCAATCTCCCACGTAGAGACAAGCATGTGTCAGTGCTGAGAGAAGTTTTGTATATACAGATTTAATAAATGGCCTTCTCTTCTGAAGGAAAAACTTCGATTGCATGATTGTTTTACTATTTTTGTAGTTATTTTTTATTAGAAGACTACACTTAAAGCAATAATCTATTTTTTCCAGAATGTGAAGGTATGTGCAGCAGCAAATGGAATATTTAGGTAGCTACTGCAAAGCAAAATCATGTCATTAAAAGTTAGTTTCTATTATTAATTAATGCTATCTTATTATAATTTATGTTGCTTTAGGAGTATCATTACGTATTACACATAGAACATCATCCACTTTGGCTCTCATAAATACCTTATTGTTCTAGGCAAATCCATTCAAGATATTTCTACAAATGTTATTTTCTTAATCTTTTGGTTTGTATCTGTTACTCTTGTTTATGTATTTTATTGTTTATGTACAATAGCTCCCTCTCTTCAGTTACCTGTCTTCACTTTCAAAGTCCTTCGAAGCTTGTTGTCCCCTTGTTTATTCTCTCAGTAAGCATCAAGAAATCAAACATGCTGCTGGCTTCATTTTCAAACAACTCTTGTCGTATTTCTTCCCAATCTGTCCCCCATACTTGGGAAAAGTAAGTTTCCATTAATCTATCCTACTACCTTCCCTCAAATTGTACATTTAAGCATCACTTTGCTGTGGTGACTACAATATCTTGACAACGGGTAGGATGCCCACGAGCTGGAAACAATGTGTGCTGTCCTGACTGTCCAGGGATTTCATTGTGCTTCCCTCTGTCCTCCTTTCAAACCTTTTCATTCCCAAACTCACTGGGACAGTGTCCATTTTTATGTTTTATCTGTGCACTGCACATAGCATATTGAGATGTGTATGCGGAGAATGGAGTGAGGAGTGAATCGTCCTGAGTTCATAGCTCATAGAACTGAGTTAGCCTCGGGTTGTCATCTTCAGTGTAAAATACTGCATCATCTTGAAGGGTTTCTGTTTCTGATTAACTCATCCTTTTATACTCATCAAGACTTCTGGTATGTTTTCCATGACAAGTAAGGATATACACTTTTGTGAACCTTTTCAACTGTAAATTGCATTTTATTTTAAATCTTTTTGATTCTAGTTGAATACAGTGCCTTCCTGGTGTCTGACACAAATGCTCAATAGTGATAACTAGCTAATTTAATTTACCCCAAAGTGCCATATTAATTTCAGTAAAATGGTTTAAATGAACATCAGTGTGTACATCTACACGTTGTAGCATACATAAACTTGGTGCTCTCTTGTTGCAGGTCACAGTGCTGTTGACATTACCAAGGTAGCAAGAAGACATCGCATGTCTCCATTCCCATTGACATCTATGGACAAGGCCTTCATCACAGTTCTGGAGATGACCCCAGTGCTTGGAACAGAAATCATCAATTACAGAGGTATTTTAAGTTGGATTCTTTGTGAGGATTAGGGTGATTATTTCCTTATTTTACAACCTCCTTAAGCTTTTACTCTTTTATTAATGTTGTGAGGTGTCCGAGACAGTACTTTGTCCAGGAGAAACTGCTTTAGGAAATGCCACTAATAGGAGCAGAAGTCTCCTTTCAAAGTCAGGAGAATGTTGATTGAGTTCAGTGCTGCTCCCTGAAGGAATCTGTAATGGAACTCTAATTAAATATATATATTAATTTTCTTCTGCTCTGTGTTACATGTGACAAAGCTAAAACATAGAAACCACAATTTGCCTCACTGGTTGATATAACACTGGACTTCTGTAGATGCCAAGTATCTCCAAGTTGTACTGTGATCATTCACTCTGTTCTCTTACTGTGGGAGATTCTCACTAAATCCCCTTTCCAATCTGAGATTAGTGATCAAATCAAAGTGACTATTGATTCCAGGTTACTTTTTTCCATGTCTATAACTTTAACAGTTCATCCCAGTCTGTTTTTCCAGATCCTACTTAGCCTACTAGTCATTCCAAAATTTGCCTCCTCTTCTCATAAACGCATCATAATTCCTTTTCAATTCTACCACTATATTTGATCCTTTTATTTGCATCTGATATTTGATTTACTGAAACTTTATAATCAAGGGTATCTGTTATTGATTTATACAGTAAGGTTGTCTTAAAAGGCACCAAGCAGCAGGCAAAATTGCAGACTATGTGACCGTGTCATTCCTTGTAAATAAATGGGGATAGGTGAAGCCATTTTCTGGCCTTATAAGGAGTTAGTACAGCACCTTTCATGTTTATTCAGCTAAACTCTCCTCCATCCTGAAATAGTGTGTTCATAAAGCCTATTAAGTGTCTCCCTTGCTTCTGCTATCCCTTAAACCAAGCCTGGGCATTATCTGTGTTCTTGGCACAGAACAAAACCATGACAGAAAGCATGCTGACAAGTAATCCTAAAATAGGTAGGGGAGAGGAAACCTCCTCCAGGGATTCCTCTAGATTTTCCAAAGGTAAGGTGGTAAGCCAAGAGATAGTGAGACCGCCAGCCTCAAGAGGCAAAATGTTTAGGACATCGGTGGACTCCAGGTGGCAGAGGGGTACAAATGGTTTCTGAATGGGATATTCGGTCTTCCGGCTTGAAAGTTCAAAGTTTTCATGCTTATCACCAAATCTTTGTGCTGCCACAAACCTTTGTAATGTCGTTGTATTGGCATACTGATTTAGCAGACTGCATGTAGAATCAGACCTGCCTGTTTAGTCTCTCCAAGTGGAG